CTAAAGAAGAAGAAGAAGAAGAAGAAAAAGAAGAAGAAGAAGAAGAAGAAGGAGGAGGAGGAGGAGGAGGAGGAGGAGGAGGAGGAGGAGGAGGAAAAAAATTGGCATGAAACAGTATCACTTATCTGGCATATTATTTTGTTTACGGTGTGTGCCATTAGAAAGAATCGAATATTTCGAATTCTGATATCAAAATGGCCACGATCTTTGTAAACCTATTTTCACATTCGTGTGTTTTAGTTAGGGACTTAGGCAATGACAAAAAATAAGAATTGTTCATTTTCCGCGGGAGGGGGATCGGCATAGAGTCAATTTAAGAGTTCAGATGGAATGAGAAAAGGTCGCAAGTCCTGGTCAGAAAACTTTATATACAGATACTCGATTAATTTAAATACGTTCTAAAGTAATCGAGATAGATCTATATTCGAATATTGGCACTCCAAGCAGGAATTTTCTTGTTTACAAATGGCGGCTTTCGGCGTCTGCCTAGTGATTTCACTTGTTCGAAGTTGTCACTGAAACGGTCAGTGTTTGGAAGTCTTCTCTAACTCTAAGGGGAGTTTATAGCAATTACTGGTAGAAGAAAGTGCTAAATCAAGTCAAGACTGGGTTGTTATTTTTTCCTTTAAGCTGGCGTAAGCTTATTTTGTTAATTTGGGCTGCAGACTGTGCAAAAATATAACTCTTTTTTACACTTTACTATGACTATGACAGTATAGAGATCTATGAATGACACCTTTGTAATTTTTTATTATCCCAATTCTCCAATATTAATTCTTGAAAGTAGTCGGATTTTCAGGGAAGGTAGATCTAGATATGTATTTTCTAAACACAAAACAGATACAAGTTTTACTCAAACAGATTAAATAAATTAATACTTGGTATCATATTTGTATTACAGTTTGTGTTTTGAAGGTAAAATCATGACAACTAGATCTAGATTCTAGATATAAAGTCTACCATTTATGAATGATAATGATATGACAAAGCATTGTAAAATGCATGGTATTGTTTTATAATTTATCTCATGTATTTGTTGAAGTAAGCCAATCTCAGCTAGATCTAGAAATCTATCTGTTATCTGTCATTTGTGCAGTGAGAAAATAAATGGGCCTATTTTTGTTATGCCAACTCTGAATATAAAGTGAATCTTCAATGATGTCACTGACAAAACCATCTGGCGAATAAAACTCTTGATCGATTTTAAAGTCATCTTCAATCCTTTATATATATA